GATATAAGGGTGGCGGCTCACAGCAGTTTTTATTTGCTGGATCATTTTAGTTCAGCTTTCCTTTTGTTATATTTCTTTAAGAGTTCAAAATGTGTTAATTACATAAATAAAATGTAATTTTCTCTGTAGCACTTCATGGATTTCATAAGCAACACACCTTGTTCACACAAAGTATGAGGATAAAAAACAATATATACAGTGTTATCTTCATTTTAGATGTCAGAAAGTATTTGCGGCTCCCAGCGTTTTCTTTTGTGTGGAAACCGGGTCCAAATGGCTCTTTGGGTCTTAAAGGTTGCAGACCGCTGGCATAGGACATGATGTCATCTGTTAACTTGGATATACTGTCCCAAAATGAAGTCAGTTGTGTACACGTCCAAAAGATATGAGAGTGATTGGCGTTCGGGTGACAACACTGTCTCCAACATTTTTGCTGGTGTGCATGAAATTTGTTAGTAATATGTGGAGTAATAAAGAATCTAAATAGAGTTTTCCGCACAGATTCCCTCCACCTTTTGGAACAAGTTGATGTTTGTTGTGTGGTGCACATATACTGTGTTGTTACCATTTTGTTTTTCTAGCCCTTTTGTAGAGTTTAGACACAGTTTTGGTGGAAGAACTCCCTTTTAACAGGAAGACATCTGCAGGGACAGGCTCAGAGAGAGAGCCATTAGCCACAAAGTGACAGAGAGCCGAAAGAGAGGACCCCAAACAGAAGGAAGGACAGACTGAAGTGAAGCATCAGGGATAGACTTTGTTCCCAATAACTGTTATAATTAGCCCACATTACAACAGCGAGAAGTCAGTAAAACTGTAAAGAAGCTTCTAAAAATACAACAGAACCAAACAAACTGTGAGATTTAAGTTCCTGTACCTGCTCAGCTGATCTCTGTTTACTTACATTCATCAGTTATGTTGGGCTGAATCATTTACCGCTACATGAGAAGGTTAACTATGATTTTAATTTTTTGCACAGTATCTGCCTCACTCTCCCGGGCCCATGGACCAGTCCATGAGTCATTTGGTAGCGGGCAGCGAGAGTTGAAGCTCGGGTGTGAAATTCACGGTTTTCAGCGTTATTTTTTAAATCTTTTTTATCGTTAACTCTGTTTGCCTGGGTCTTTTCCTGTGTGTTATGAATAAATCGTATTTCTTTGGTACCGCTACTGGTTTTATTTTGTTGTATTTAACCACGACAAGGCCGGTCTGTGAAAATATTGTCGGACATTAAACCGTCCCGTGGCGCAAAAAAGGCTGGGGGCTGCTGGTTTACACTACACAGCAGTCTCCTAAACGTGTGCAGAAACTTTAATGTCATGACTGAAAAATTAAAATTGAAAATATTGAAAATCAAAGAATTTGGCTGATAATTTAATCCACAGGCTAATTTTCATTAAGTGTATATCATTTATTAATAAACAACAAATATGAAAACAAGGAGACGAGAAAAATGTATTTTACGCCGATGCAGGAACATGTCGATCAAACTTTTTCATGTTTGAATATAACGCTGGGGACAGCCACAGTTTGGGAAAACGCTGTAATAAACACGGCAACTGAGCTAAAAACATTCAGGATTTTGGCTCCTGAACATTTCAGAGATTAAGAGGTTCAACATGACAGCAGTGATATGATTGTTGAACCCACAGTTGGCATGTTGATTGTATTTAATTTGCCAGATCCGTTTCTGTTCACTCCCACATGTGTGTGTGTGTGTGGTCGCTGTTTTAGCAGCAGTACGTTTCAGACCTTGGCTCGTGTTTTATTGCTATTAAAAAAAGACCAAAGCTGAGAGGAACGCAGGGGTTGTTTTTTTCGCCCCTCCATCAAAACAGATTTTCTTCTTTAAAAACGCACCGTTTCCTTCTGACACCTCACACCGACCTAAATTAAAGCTGCAAGAGGAAATTTGCCTTTGGCTTGTTACGAGTAAAGCTTTCTTGGCTGCTACATGTGTCTGTTTTAAAAATGCACAGCTTTTTCCTCTAAAAATCGAGTTGTCTGCGATCAAAATCAATACGAGACTGCGCAGAATTAAGGTGCAATTAATTCGCCTTCTTTTCTTGGTGATGAGATTGATTTAATGGTGACTGAGGTGTCTGAGAGGCAGCAAATATTAAAAAGGGCCGGTGAGCAGAAAAAAGAAAAAGGAGG